TCTGGCATTATTCATAATGGCTGAGACATGGAACCAACACAAATGTCCACAAAAAAAAAAAATGACTGGGTTTAATTCAATTGTGTGCATGGACTAAGTTCATGTTTATTGTAAACAAAATATGGTGAATAAAAAAAGAAAGAAAAAGTGTGGTACATACACACTATGGGAAAAAACAGGTAGAACCTAGTAATTTTTAAAATTTATTTTAACTTCTTTTATACATTCAATCACTACACATCACTTATCTTGTAAAGTGAATTTTCACAACATGAATACACTACACACTAGTCCAGTTGAGAATCTATACACATTATCAACAGAGAACAATCCATTTCGGTATCCTATAAATTTCTTGCCTATTTTTCTCCTTAATGTCTTTCCTTGAGTCTCCTCCTCCCACACTCTTCCCATACTGTATCCAGTATCCATAACTATTTTCTCTGTTTCTGTATCTTCTAATCTTTCAGTTTCAGACATAGGGTGCAGACAGTCAGTATATATTAAGTGGAGGCATACAATGTCTCTCCATCATAGCCTGGAGTCCTTCATTCAGCAGTAAATCTTCCATATCTGACCACTTTCTATCAAAAGCCCGGGACTTTTTTTTTTTTTTATGACTGAGTAGTAGTATTCCATAGAGTATATGTGCCACACTTTTTCAATCCATCGTTCTGTTTGTAGGCATTTGGGCCGCTCCATGTGTTAGGGATTGTGAATAATGCCACAAAAACATATATAGATGTGCAAGCACTTTTCCAACTAAGCATTCTCCTGTCCTTTGAGTGGACATCAAGTAGTAGGATTGCTGGATCATATGGCAGTTCTATATTCAGATTTTTGAGAAATTTCCATGTTGTTCTCCACAGTGACTGGACCAGTTTACATTTCCACCAGCAGTGTAGAAGAGTTCTCCTTTCACCCCAGCCCTTCCAGCATTTATCATTTTTTTTTTAATCTTAATCATTGTGACTGGAGTTAGGTGGTATCTCATTGTGATTTTGATTGTTCAGCACCATTTTCTAAAGAGATTTTCTTTTCCCCACTGGATTGACTGGTAAGTTTTGTCAAAAATCACTTGGCTGTATGTTCTTGGGTTTATTTCTGGGGTCTCTATTTTGTTCCCTTTGTCAAAATTTCTGTCTGTGTGCCAATATGATGCTGTTTTGATTAAAACAGCTTTATAATGCTGGACCTGAGATGACTCCTACTCCACTCCTACTCCACTCTTTCACAGAACAGCTTTGGCAATATGGAGTCTTTTATGATTCCAGACAAATTGTATGCTTGTCTTGTCTAAATCTGTGAAGAATGTCTCTGGTAATTTAATTGGTATTGTGTTAAATTTGGGTATAATTGCCATTTTGATTATATTAACTCTTCTGATCCAGTAACAAACATGGGATTTCCTTCTACATTTTAGTGTCATTTTCTATTTTTTTTTTTTTAGATTTTCATAGTTTTCTTTTGTGGAGGTCATCAAATTCTTTAGTGATTTATTTCTAGGGATCTTATGCTTTTTGTGGCTATGGTAAATGGGATTACTTTCTTCAGTTCCATCTCAATCTCCTTGTTTGTATATAAACACGCCATAAATTTTTGTATGTTGATTTTGTATCCTGTAACTTTATTGTACTCATTTTTTACTTTCAGGAATATTTTCATGGATACCATTGGGTCTTCTATGTATACCATCATGTCATCTGCAAATAAAGATGATTTCACCTCTTCTTTTCCTATTTTATTGCCTTTTATTTTATTCTCTTTTCTGAATGCATTGGCTAGGACTTCCAACGCTATGTTGAAAACAAGTGGAGAAAATAGGCATCTTTGTCTTGTACCAGTTTTTAGTGGTAAAGCTTTCAGCTTTTTCCCATTAAGATTGATATAAGCAAAGGGTTTATCATGGATAGCTTTTATTGTGTTGAGGAATGACACTTTTATACCTATTTTGCTGTGAGTCTTAATCATGAAGGGATGTTGCATTTTATTGAATGATTTTTCTTCATCAATGTATATGTTTATTATCTTTTTTTCTGTTAATATGGTGTATTACATTTATGGTTTTGCATATATTGAATCACCCTTGAATCTCTGGAATAAAGCCTACCAGGTTGTAATGTATAATCTTTTTTATATGCTTGATACTATTTGCTAGTATCTTTTTGAGAATTTTTTCTTTATTCATCAGAGATATTGGTCTATAGTTTCCTTCCTTGTCATGTCCTTTTCTATTTTATGGATAAGGGTGATGACAGCTTCATAAAATGAATTTGGAAGAATTCTATCATTTTGACTCTATAGAAATAGCTTTAGTAGAATGGGAGTTAATTCTTTAAAAGTTTTGTAGAATTCATAGGTGAAGCCATCAGGACCAGGGCTTTTCTTTTTTGGGAGATTATTTATTACTGATCCAATCTCATTGCTTGTAATGGGCCTATTCAGACTTTCTATGTCATCCTGATTAGATCTTGGTAGATTATGTGTGCCCAGGAATTTGTCCAGCTTATCTAGGTTTCCTTGTTTATCAACATATAGTTGTTCATGTTATACTCTAGTTATGTTTTGTATTTCTATGATGTCTGTTGTTAAATTGCCTACTCCATTGGCATTATGATTTATCTGGTTCCTTTCTCCCTTTTACTTAATTAGTCTAGCTAATAGTGTGTTGATTTTGTTTATCTTTTTCAAGATCCAAATTTTGCTTTCATTTATTTTTTGTATTTTTTTTTATTATTCATTTTATTTCTGCTCAAATCTTTATTTCTTTTCCCTTGGCATTTTTTTTCTTAAATTTTCGGTTGCTGTTTTTCCAATTACCTGGGGCATGATGTTGGGTTGTCCGTTTGCCAACTTTCCATCTTTTTCTTATGTGCCCTTATTACTATGAATGTCCCTCTTACGACTGCTTTTGCTGTGTCCCATAGATTATGAAAACTCATGTACTCATTATCATTGATTTCTATGAATCTTTTGATTTCAGTCTTAATTTCTTCAGTAGCTGGGAAGTCATTCAGATGTATGTTACTTAGTTTTCATGTGATTTTGTATTTTCATCTGAAATTTTTTAATTTTTAAAAATTTATTATTTTACATTGACTCATTGAACATCATCTTAGCATATAAAATGCGATTTCCATCCAGAATATACTGTAAAGTGGCTTGATCATACATGTTATTATGAACAAATAATTTTCCATTTATATATATATATGAAATCTTTAAAAATGCCCCTCCTCCCACATTCTCCCTGGTGTCTACAGTCGCTTTTCATGCCTTTTCTTTTTTCTTTCTCTCTCTTTTTAAAATTTTTTATTGATTCATAAAATATCTTAATTAATCTAAATATTTTCAATAGCAAGTTCAGCTGATATATACATATCTGTGAATACATGTCTGGCATTGGGAATGAAACTTAGTGAGTTGAATGACTATACTCTAAAGTAGTACCTAGTTGAAGCTATATAGCTTACTATGCTCATTAAATAGGTATTTTCAAATACTTTTTTTTTGAGAGAGAGGTTTTTGCTATAGGGCGCTAGGGCGTGTGCACTCGCCAGAAAGACAGAGAGACAGAGAGACAGAAAGTGAGAAATCACCCCCCGGGGGGGATGGTAATGCTGCAATCCCTTCTCCTCCAGCCTCCTCTCAGGATCTTGGGCATGCACACACACGCGCCCAGCATTTTTTTTTAAATACATATTTTTTATTTAATGAAAGAGAGAATTAAAAATCAGACTGATATGAATTTGTTCAACATTATAGGCAGCAACATTTAATTATATTGACTGTCAATTTTAAGGGAACATACCATCTTATTTTTCATATTTGTTACTACAAAGTCTTTGTTTTTACATATCTTTTTCATAAATGTGTGGATATAAGCAATATTTTTATTTATATCACCATAAGTTCTCTTTTCTAAGAGAAAATCCATTTCCCTAAAGTCATCACCACTTATTTAAAATTTCTTGCTCATAAATTTTAATAAAATATAAGTAGCAATGTATATTGTTATATTACTATTCTGGAATTTTAAAACGATACAAGCATATACTTTAAAAGCTACACCTACTGAGAAACAAAGTAAGATTTCTTAAAAAAAAAAA